GTAACAATAAAAAGAGTTTCTAATGTTTTTAAAAGTACACATACAGTAGAACTTTTACCGTGGTTCTAAAAGATTGATGCAAGCTTTGGTATTTGCATCATGCTTTAATGAAGAAACAGCTTTGCCCCCTCTTACCTGAGAAGATGAATTACAGTCTCTAGGATTTGTATGCTAAAAGCTCTGTCATTATCTTCCAGCTGTCTAAATCTTTGGGGTCTTCACTGTATGACAGATGAAGTCAGCTTCTACAGTGGTTGAGCTGTTTTTCAGATAGCCTGTACCTTGAGCCCTCTAGATCCTCTTATATCTATTAGCAATGTCTACATAAATGGCTTTAACTTCTTTCAGAATGTTCAAATGCTCAAAAGCAGCTTGCCTGCACAGGTGAAGCTTACGCATCTTATTAGAAGTTGAACGCATACCTTGAGAGCTCTCTCTCGAGCAGAAAACCAGAGCCCTGGAACTTCACTACAGTGCTAAGTAGATCTAAGAAAAAGTGAAACCAGAGCCCATCAAAGGGCTTTCCAAAGAAGGAAAATGTTCTTTTGTTTTGTTTTGTTTTTACAGTAAGGGTGGTGAAGTACTGGAATAGATTGCACAGGTTTCTTCACTGAAACAATGGATGCCCCATCCCTAGAGACATTTAACATCAGGCTGGATGGGACTCTAAGCAACCTGATCTAGCTGTAGATGTCCCTGTTCATTTCAGGGGTGTTGGACAAGATTACCTTTAAACGTTCCTTCCAACTCAAATGATTCTGTTATTCTACGATTCTTGTCTCTATTCTTCCTGTTTTTCCTGCACGTGTTTTAATAATCTGGTTAGAATATTTGAGGTTTTGTAGATGTTCAAATTAAGAATTAAAACTCATTTGTGACGTATCTATAAAATGCATATGATATGTTGCAAACTGCATGTATATAGAAGAGAAATGGCCATGATATGGAATGTCTTCAGCTTAGTTTTCAAAACTCTTATTTGTCTTAATAATCTGAGTATTATACTTCCCTATGATAGTGGATGCTATTTCACTGAAGATTTCTATCTTAAAATTGAGCAACTTCAAGGGGAAATAGAAGATTTTGTCAAGGTAAGGATAAAAGCACTCGCTTAAGGCAGGTTTCCTTTATCTTTTTCATGGGTCATTATTCTCTTGTTCTGATGTTCAAAAACGTCTTTCATCTATGACTCAACAAGGCTTTCCTACCTCTCTGGTTGTTTAGGAGAATGAGTCTGTATTTGTATGCGTTTCATATTTTCCATTTATGCTAGCCATTTTTTTTAAAAACTGAACCTTACTTAAAAGTAAAAGATATCATTTTTTGTTGCAATTTTTATTTGTTTTTATCTTATTAGCATCAATATATGTTCCCTGTTGTTGTTTGTGTCAGTTGGTGGTTTTTTTTTTTCCGATATGGCATGTTTCTTACAGCTAGGGATTGTGAAGACTCCATAAGATTATAATTTTGTAACATTAGGTATCTAATTACACCTCTGTTGTGAATTCATTTCTCCAAGTTGGACAAAGACTGTACTCTGTAAGGAAATAGTCCTCAGTACTGGGTTTCATCACTCCTGGATCTTCTCAGCTCCTCTTGCTCTTTTGAGCGTAGAAGCTTCATAATCAGCAATATATATGCTTACAGTATTTCCCTTTGGAATATGGATTGTAGGCATTAATTTGGATCAACAGATAAGGCAGTATCTGTGTGATCATTAATAATAGGTGTTCTCAGAGGAAATGTTTCCTGAGGCATAAAACTAATACATGAAGAAAATGAAAGTGACATTGACATAAACAATTTTATCTTACATTTGTGTTGCACTAGTAACTGAGAACAGAATCTAAAAATGCAGAGAAATACTTGAATTCTACCGTTTTTTCCCTCAGTGTTGAAGGCTGTGGACCTAGTCCATCTGATGTCCATGCAACATAGTCTGCTATAAAGCATAAATAATCTTAAATCTGCAAACTGTTTGGTGATTTTCTTATCCATGTTGCTTCACAATTAAGATATCATCTCTTGTCTTGCAGTGTCGTCTTACTTGCAAAGGCTGAGAAATGTTTTCCTCCTATAAACCCTAGCCAAATCAATTCAAATATAGTCAAAAACAACTTTATAAAACTGATGATTTGGGATTTTTGTGTTTGTTACTGCTTGGTTGCTTTCATATTAAGTATACTCAGTGTGCAAATCAAAGGATGTTGTTTGTCATTTCTAGCTTCTACCTTTGAAAACTTACCCTGGGATCTGCTAATTAAGCCTTCCTCTGTCTATAGCCTATGCTATTATCACAGTAGGGATGCTCAGTGTTCCAAAGTTTGCTCTTATTTTTTAAAAAGAGCTGCCAGAATGTTGAAGTGCAACATGTTCACCTTATTTGTTCTTCACTGAATAAACAAACTTTTAAAATTAAAAACTTCATTAAATGAAAGCCAGGAATAAATTGTTGCCATGATCATGGAATCATCGTAGAAGCATTGAATGGCCTGGGCTGAAAAGGACCTCAAAGATCATCTAGTTTCAACCTCTCTGCTATGTGCAGGCTAACCAACCGCCAGACCAGGCTGCCCAGAGCCACATCCAGCCTGGCCTTGAATGCCTCCAGGGATGGAGCATCCACAGCCTCCTTGGGCAACCTGTTCCAGTGTGTCACCACCCTCTGTGTCGAAAAACATCCTCCTTATATCTAACCTAAACCTCCCCTGTTTCAGTTTTAAACCATTCCCCCTTGTCCTATCACAATCCACCCTCATAAACAGCTGTTCCTGCTCCTGTTTATATGCTCCCTTCAAGTACTGGAAAGCCACTATGAGGTCCCTCCACAGCCTTCTGTTCTCCAAGCTAAACAAGCCCAATTCCCTCAGCCTTTCTTCATAGGAGAAGTGCTCCAGCCCTCTTATCATCTTAGTGGCCCTGGTTCCACATCTTTCTTGTGCTGGGCCTGGATGCAGTACTCCAGATGAGGCTTCACAAGAGCTGAGTAGAGGGGGACAATCACCTCCCTCTCCCTGCTGGCCACTCTTCTTTTAACGAAGTCCAGAACACAGTTGGCCTTCTGGGCTGCAAGCAAACACTGCTGGCTCATGTCCAGCTTCTCATCCACCAGGACCCCCAAGTCCTTCTCGGCAGGGCTGTTGTCAAGGAGTTCTTCCCGCAGTAACAGTGTACATCATGTGCTTGTATAATTAACTGAAATGCAATTTTTACATCTTTTTTGAAGTATGTGGCACTAGATGTTACTGGAGAGAGTAGTAGATAAGATAGACCTTTATTTTGTCAGCCCTTACTTTATATCTAAACTAACCACATATGTCCCAGACTTCAAAAACTGGAACAGAACCTGTACTTTTTAGAGATCAGTTGACTTAAACCATGCATCTAATACGTACAACAGTCAATACCATACAATTGATTGAAAAATGTTGTGGTTTTGTCTTGTGAGGGTTTTTCCATTGATTTGAGGAGTTCCTGCCATCTCTCTTATTCTCGCTGTTCCATCCCCACTTGGACTGTAGCACAATGTCAAGCTATGAATTGAATCAGGGAAATTTAAAAAAAGAAATGCATGGAAAAGGGAAGTAAATAGTGAGAAAAACTAGAGAAAAGCGGGACAAGAACTACTTAAGCAAGCTAAACTCCCAAAAGAGATGCTCATTAAAACATGACTTAACTGATTGTCCATTGATTAAAGGTTTTCAGTGTTGCAAGTTTATATATATATTTCACATTGCAATTCTAGCTGTAACTGAGCAAATCACTTTGGAGCTCCTCATTCTCTTAGGTTATTAATTTCATTGTTAATTTCTTATAGGTTATTAATTTCTTTAATAGTCAATATACTGAGAAATTTCAGAGTGACAATTGTGTTTGAGGTTTTCTGTTGATGAATACAATTATTTTGCTATCTAAATGGGTATTATTAAAATGTTACGGGCAAAAAGGTGAACATAAAGGAGACCTTTAATGTCAACATGATATTTTGAAGTTAAAAATCTAATGACTGTTTTCTTTGAATATTAAATCTACAGAGTCCTTGCTCTGAAAACTCTTTACAGGCTTATTACTGCTTTACTAAGAAGAAAATGTTGTTATTGAAAATCCAAGTTGAGAAACAGATTTCCATCTTTTAGAAATAAGATTCCTTTACAGATATTTTAATGCTGTTTATAACGTTCTGCTCTCTCTTCTTATCCCCTGCTCTAATAATTTCTGTTTAGTGGCTTTACTTCAGTCATACATTATCTCTCAGTACTCCTCCCTTCACCCTTTCATTCTTATGGAGAATCGTCTCTGATGAGAATCGAGGAAGCAGAAGTACTTGTGTGCATGTAAGATCTCTTGGGCTAAAATGTAGAAGACTAAAGTAGACATGACATCTTCCTCAAGCTTTCTCTAATTCTGAAGACAACAGTTGAATTTCATTTTTAAAAACAATAGTGATGGCAAATTGAGACTGCATCTAAACCCGGGTTTAGATTTAAAATTACATTAGTAGAAATAGGTATCAGTGTTCATCAGTACCACCATAATCCCTGTTTCTGTTTAAAAAATAAAAAACAATTTGAAGCAGTTTGGTTATGAGCTTTTCATGATTGTCAGTTTGACCCTAAACTGCTGTTGAAGAGAGTATGTGAGCATTATCTGTGCAAATGCATTTTACGTTGAATATTCCTAGTACTTGATTTAATAGTGCTCTCTCTGGAGTTCTTTCTTTGTGCCAATGAATCAGACTTATTTAGAGCTGTTTGCTGTGGTCCACCATTTCCCTGTTAAACGTTCCAAATTTGTAAGTGTTGTGACCCTTTTGCCAATACAAGTAATCCTAATTCTAGCAATGCACTCTTGTCAGTTTCCTTTAAACTCCATTACTGCACTCTGAAATTCTACACAAAATGGTTTGGAGACCATTTAACAAATAACAAATTGGAGATAGACGGATTTTGTCCCTTATGCCACAATTAATTATTTACTGGAATTTTGGTTTTGTGTTGCAGAATTGTGACCTGGTCCAGCAAAGCATCGTTCATATTGTTCAGAATCCACAGAAAAATAGTGATAAGGATGAGACAGAAGACAGCCATGCTGGAGGCATTCTAAAAACATTGGAAAGAGTACCTGAAAGTCTAACACGCATAGATCTCAGTTCCAGCATCCTCCCATCACTGTCTGCAGGGTTGGCTGTTATTCTGGATACTAAAGAACCCAACATTTCTCCTCCCTCTGAAAAATCAGGTAAATCAGTTGTTTGGTACACAGAATCATAGAATCATTTGAATAGAAAGGGACTCTTAAAGACATCTAGTTGGACATCTAGTCCAACTCCCCTGAAATGGACAGGGACATATACAGCTAGATCAAGATGAACCTGGTCCAGCCTGACTTTGAATGTCCCCAGAGACAGGGCATTTCAATACTCAAAACAAAAATTTATTTCTTTATTATGGTGCGCAATTCTATACCACAAAGGAAAAGCTCTTCTTTTAGTTTTCAAACAAAAAATGCAGCTATACTAAGAGATAATAAACAGCTGATGCATCTTCTAGCAAAATAATTGTGCTTAGTGGATAAAGTCAATGATTTCTTTTGTTGTTCCTATCTCTAAGAAGTCATCATCAACAATAAAAGCACCAAAAATATATGAAAAAGCATAAGTCTATTGGCAAGCAAAAAATAGTCCCTCTATAATTTTCATAATTGAAGCTTCCTTTACTAGAATATTTGGAAGCTTTTGCATTGGAAATGTGTTTAATTCTCAATCTGTTGTAATGTTTTCATACCCGTGCATATTTAAAATATATATATTTCTATACAATGGACTTTTTATTTATAGTAACACAGTTGGTGCAAAACATGATGATGATTCATCTGTGATTTATGTAGTTCTTCACCCACCAAATTATTACAGAGATTACTTTTTCTTCATCATGAGAAATTGTCTGAGGCACAAATTACATCACTGTCAAATGGATTGTGCTGTAATAATTAAAATGGTTCTGGAGAGATGTTTACAAAAGTCAGAAAGAAATACAAGAATGTTTTAGATACTACTTCTCAGAGTAACCCTCTCCTATAGACACGGTCTGGGTAAACCTCATTGAACACTGTGTTTGTCTCCAATGAAGAAAAATCATTTTGTGGAATACTGGACTCTAAGGGGTGATTTGTGGTAACGTTCTATCAAAGATGTATTTTTGGAATGATTGGTATGGATGATAATAGCAAACACAGAGGTCCAAGATACAGAAGGGAGTTTGTAAATATGACATGGAGATACCTCTGTAACTAACCTGACCACAAAAATAATAATGCTTAACTGAACAGCTACTAAACTGTTAGTATAACTTTATAGAAAATTTCTTAAGTAACTCATGCCAAAAAGAAATGGAAGGGTCAGAGAAGTGTTCCACAACTGACTTGATCAACCTCTCACTGCCAGCTGATGATGAATGAGTGCAGTTTAGGAACAAATTAGTGCCCAGCTTAATGATCCACATCTCTCATTCTCCATGAATAATGAGATAAGTGGGGTGCATGCCAATTTAAATCTATTAAGGCAGGGACACAGTTTCAGACTGGGCCTTCAGTCTAAGTCAAGGCAGTGGTGTTAGCTCCTTAATGCTTTTTCACTACTGTACATGATATTTACATGAAATTAATAGTAGTGTTTGACTTTACAGAATAGTTTATACATGTGTAAGGCATTTTAAAATGTATTATGCAGTGCATTTTTCCATAGTCTGCAAATTCTGTGAAGCTGCGTACAAACAGATCGGTATGTTCTGTTGCAGTAAATATTTCCACAGCAGAAGGACAACTGAGAAAAAAGATACTGAGTGTATATGTGGTCTAGTTTTATCTGAGATTATGCTAAACAGATTTTTTTTGTCGTAAGGGAAAAAACAGCTTGATGTAATGACTGACAGTTCTGCCTGAAAGGATATTAGTAAGAAGGTTTTTTTTAAAGGTCTTTTGTCTTCTCCTTGGCTTGTTATGACTCTCACAATGGATGCTTAACCTTGCCTCTGTTCAGCTCTACTACTTCTGTTCAATATGGAGGATTTTTATGTCTTTGTTGCTACTGGAACTTGAGGTGGGTTAATTTGTAGTCACATCATTCATTGAGATGTGTACTAGTCTGGGTTAAAAATGATCCAGCAAGAATAAAGAAAAAAAGATGAACCCAGAGATCTTTTTTTTTTTTTTTTTCCAGTCAGCTCTACTGTATAGTAATATTTGCCTTGACACAGTTGCAATGAGTAACAGTAGTGGGAATGAGTGACTGAGGGCTACATATGCACTACTTCTGCTTTAAATACTTTTAAAGCTATTCTGTTTCTCTGTTTCTCAGAAAGAGAAACCTATCCAGTAAAACCAAGCATTATTCTTTTGTGCGTGTGAGATCACACACAATGAACAGAGGGCAATTCCCTGTATTGCCATTATGCATGTACACTTATGCAGTATGCATTTATAGTATGAACTGGTGCATTTGATTAGACAGTTGCCTTTGTGGCCTGGCATCCTGTCTCGATTATTTGCTCCTTGCAGAAGAACACAATGGGGCATCTTCTTCACAGCTCATCCCCTTCCTTAGTGATGAGTAATGAAAGCAACTTTTTATTTGTCTGGAGAACCATCTTACATAAATTGTGTTTGGAATGTACAAAACATGTTTGTCCATGAGAAATTCAAAAGTTTGACAGTCATTAACAGACTGAAAAAAATGTGAAAATAGATGCAAGTTATCTGTGCATCAAGAATTTCCATGCTTCCTCTCTTTTCAGACAAAGGTAATAGCAATGCATTTTTGTCTGCTCAGTACCACCTTGTATGACTTTTAATGAACATGAAACAAAAATCTGGCTTAGCTGGGCCAAGTTGTAAAGGGTAGCAGAAAAAAAAAATTGATTCTCTTCCACCTACTTAGGAAGTTTTTTTAACCAAAACTTAACGCCGGTTGAAACCTGCTTTCCTTGCATCTGAGAGAAATACAAGTTATGAGAGAGGTAAACTAGTCATTAGCGAAACCTCCATGATGTCAGTGCTTAAAAGTAGGAAGCAATAATTATTTTGAGCTCTAAATCAGAGTCTGATTTGTGAAAGATACAGACAGAAACTTTTAGAAGAAAAATCCAGAATTTAGAGTTTGGGTAGTGAAAACTGCATACGACCAAGAAAAGCTCTGAAGAATAATAGAGAAGAATTTATGTAGGAATACTGTCAACAGTATATGAATACATCTTGAATAATATCTTATTGATTGTGTGTTGAAATTTCTCTAATTTCTTCTGTAATTGATATTACATTTTATTATCTTTTAATTAAAACGAGGATGTGATTTTTGGGTCAGGTTTGTTTGAAGTAAATGAGCAGTGTAAGCTCCAGGTGCACTTTAAAATTAGTGAATTCTCTAAAACTTATGCTTTCAAATTAGTTCTAGACCAGGGAACAACATGATATACATCTCCACCTCCCTGTTTTCATGTGGCATTCAGTTGAGTATTCCTAGATCTGCAGCTTTTTCTTACCCTCTTTTAGAAAGTGCCATCAAAATGTAAGCATTGATCCATTCAAAATGGCCTCCAGCAATACAAGAGCATCTGTATTGATACTCTGGGACTTGAAGGTTTGTAAGCATTTAGCAACTGAACCAGACACTACTCAGGCAAGTGTAACAATGAACTTACTTTCCAGTGGCCTACTTCTTCTTTTCAGTATCACATGGCAAAATACCTAAGAATTTACTATTCCCTTAGAAAAGAAAGGATTCCTATTTTTTTTTTTTTTTTCTCTGCTGGCATTTAGTTCTATTTTTAATGAGAAATTTATCTGTATAAATAATTTTTCCATGGTATCATTGTAGCAATCATTTGTTGATTAATTATAAAACAATTTAATGAAGTAATCGTACCTTAGGTCTATGGTATTGTAAATCAGTAGTTTGAGGGTAGGAAATCAGTATGCTCTTTAATTTATATTATTTAATTAGGTTCTTTTTTTCAAAGCTATCAAAATCTTGTTCTAAAAACAAATGATCAAAGAACTTGCACTGAGTTTTTTGAGATATTAAACTACCATTTAATGGTGGTGGTGACACGGTTCTTATGGTAGTTCTTGAGACATACATGCATTTGAATGAGATTCATACTGCTGTTCAAGAAAAAATAGTATTTTACATAATGGTGACCAACAATGTGTTGTTTCAGTAGAAACATTTAAGTAACTATTAAGATTACTGTGGTATTTTCAGATTTGGTGCACTGATAATTTACCTTTGTATGAGGATTAAAATGTGTTACACCATTGTGATTTATTCTACATTTGATTCAGAGTTTCTAAAATACACAGTTTTACAAACTTTTAAATATGAAATGGAAAATCAGTGTGAAGATCAATCTACATCCAGAAGAGGGAAGGAACTAATTTACTTATTTTAGAAAAGCAGAACAAAGTATCAATTCAGTAATATACTAGTTCTGACTTTGACAAATACTTTCTGAGGAGTATGGGTGCATTTGTCTTCATTACACACTGGATGAGTACACTATATGTGCAATGCAGTTGCAACTGAACAGAGCTCACTTGGTTGAGTATGTAGAGTCTGATAAATAAGACCAATTTCAAACTTTAGAAGAAAACTTTACAAAATTCCTACATTAACAACTCACTTTCTGCTAGTGGTTAGCTTTGGAACATTGTTAATCATTAGCAATATGCATTCATTACATATACCAAACATTTTAACTGTTAGAACAAGAACATATATCTTAAATTTTCTGTCAGCATACAATACTATGGAGCCAATGCCTATGTGCCTTGTAATCACATAAGTCAAAGTGATGAGGCCTGAGAACTCTGCCAAGAGAAATTAGGACAAAAGCAGACTTTTGTTCCTTTCTCTCCAGATTTTCTCCACACATTTGATGTTTATGTAGTACTTGCGCCCTTTCCAAAGGCAATCTCAACTGCACCTGTTATTGCTTATCCTTCCTGGGTGCTCCGTATCTCCAAGATTTTCAGTTTCTATGCTTATGTGTTTTGTTTTTCAACCTTTTGCCACTTGGATGCTTCTTGTGGTCAACTATACACATCTTTGTCCCTCTGATGATCACACTGATCGCATACACAGTGCAAAATACTCAAACATTGCGCCTGTGTCATCACAGTGTTACGATATGCTTTTAAGAGGTAGCCATACTTCTTGTTCATCTAAAGTAGGAAAACCCAGGTGT